AGTCCGTGAGCCAAGTGGCCGATTGGTACCATCTGGAGGGGCAAATTCCCCCATACATTTTTAGAACCCTTAGGGTCTGTAGTTTACGAAAATGCCTGGTGGACATGTCAGAAGAGTAGCTAAAGGTGTTTRATTGACGTCTCCATGGTAACCATATAAAATTGAAAAAATCCAACAAAGTAATTTCATTTTGATTTTTCTGGACAATGAAGTGCAACTGAAGCCTCTATTTGCTATAAACATGTTGCTGGATAGTTGGGCATTATATAACTGTTATCATAAATGCCAAGGTCAAGGTCAAATCCAAGGTCAAGGTCAAAATTGCCATTATTTTCTATCTATTCAACTAATTACAACCAATTATCACATTTATTTGCTAAAACAAGAAAGGATAACACCCTATTGATAATGTCTACAAAGTTCATATCAATTGCATCACTAAAATGGCTATTAGGAAAATAATTTTGACAGAAAATTGGGCTTCCTGTGCTTTTTTGGTAAAACAGGCCTTTTAATATCTTAGTGGYTTTAAGTCTAATTTTCACTGCAAGGACACCAAATTTGGCACGAATGTMTGTCTATACATGCTTGTTACATTCTCATATATTACAAACACTGTTCTCGTATATGACTGTGGCCACGCCTTTTTAAACGTCTTAAATGTAAAATGTGTTATGAACACRAGCAATAACCAGATACAAAGTRCAAAAAAGTGTAGATATCTTGTTCATTGTCACAATACACTTTTATAACATACTAAGGACTTAAATTTCTGTACTTTTATCGTTTATGACTGTGGACACACCCTTTAAACGTCTAGGATGTGAAGCGTCATATAAACAGAAGAGCCAACCGTATATAAAATATAAAAATATGTAGATATCTAATTCCTTGTGTTACAATGCACTTTATAATGTGTTTCGGACCTAAAAATATTGTTAAAACATTGCAATACAGTTGTTCATGAATGAAAGAAATTTGTGGGCTTGCTTGTTTTATATTTCAAAAAATGGTACATTGGATAAACAGTGTCGCATTTAATGTTAACGTTTTATAAGTCATCTTCATCGGAGCTTTCATCAGAGCTTTCATCGGAGGTATCTTCATAGACTGATAGTTCTTCGTCGTCATCCACTTGCATATTATCGCAGGACTGGTTCCTGCATGCAGGTGTGCATTTGAAACCATTTACCAGACATTGGCATTGAGGAAGTTTGCATTCCTTACTGCAATTGCAGGAAATTATTTCCAAAACTGACTGCGGTGCTGGAAGACCTGTCATCCACAGGATGGTCAAATGGCCATTTTCAGTTTTCCATCCATGATCGGCATCTGGAGGTGGTGTGTTTGGGTGTTGCTGCAGGCACCTACGCCAGATTCCAGCTTGGTAGTTAGAGCGCAAAGCATGCTGGCGAAGACAATCTTCGCATGGAGGAAGCTGCCATGACTCAATCCCTCCCTTCCGTGATCTAAAGATTTCATATCTTAGCTCATTTGTGTCTTTGACTTCGAGCTTTGAAGCATACAACTTGCACGTGAACTTCTGGAGTTGAGCAAAAAGTTCCTTTGACAGTGTCCACTCTTTACCCAGTTTGGCAAAAGCATCTGCATAACACTCATCCTTCATAATTAGCTTCAATCCAGAGATCTTTCCTTTGCCTCCGAAGGCACTCGTGGAGTCGCATCCGGTGAATGCGTGTAAGCCTATCAAACTGTTACAAATGTCATTTCCAAGACAAGATCCCAATTTAGACACATCAATGTATCTGATACGGTTTCTTGTGCCGCATCGTACAAAAATGTTCTCTATCTCTTTGTGGTAGGCTAGGGCAATGATGATTACATNCGTGTCGGTGTCTCCACGGTTGTCACGCTCAGAATTCTTTATGGAAACATCTTTGTAGACATCAAAAACCACATCTATACGTCTGTGACCATTGCCATCTCTTAATACACATCGGAACAGATGGTCAGCAAATTCYCCATACYTCTTTTTGTCGGGATCAACTTTATTTATAAGTGCTAAACCATCTATGATGACTGCAGCATTCCCTAGAACATGTTCAGCAGGGGAAGTCATTTTCTCTAGATGCCTGGCAAGAGAGCTCTTGCTAGTTTTCTTCATTGATCCGTCTGGATTTGCCAAAGACCAGGGAAGGGGTCCTAGAGGGTGSTTTAGAACATCTCTGATGTGAAGATTTSTACTCGAAGATACAAGAATCAGGTGACCAAACAACTTGTTGTCAGCTTTTAGTACAACTTCTTTGTTAGACGTTTTAGTCTTTTTGGATTTTTGAATGGAGCTGAATGTCTTGAGGTTGCGTTTAGTCATCCTGTCATGGAATMTCTTCTCTCTAGTMTGATGATCAGTCTCGAGCCTCTCCTTTTTGAAAGCAATGAATGCATCTTCACRTATTTTCTTMGCTTTTAGTAAATCAGRACAGACATCATCAGGGGCCACTCTACCAGTTGATAATGATACCAAGTCATTTGGGTTTGAAAAAGGATTAATCCAGCMAGATTCAATCAGTTCTAGAAGGGCATTGATGGCTTTTTCATCTTTTTTGATTCGCGAAGCTTGAAGGTCAGGATGACTTGTTCCTTGAGCTTTTAGRTCCACCATTTTTCTAAGATTCCGGATGCAACTGCTGCGGTACTCGGCAGTGAGGTAAAACCTGTTTACCGCTCCAGGATTTAAACTGAACSCTTTGGTTCCCCCAGGTGTTTGGGTATCTTTGTTTGCAGTTTCCTCAATGGTCTGGTCAACAGGAATTCTACTGAAGGGGTTGGAAGACCCAATCTGGACCGAGAAGCCTCCATTTAYCATGTGGTCAAAGACGTCTGGGTGATCACTCTCCAACTTCAACATTTCACCATAGTAAACAGGAAGGTACCTGGCATAGTTCACCTTGTCATAGGCAAAGGCCCATGMTATCATATCTCTAATCATAGCCAGATGAAGCCACCAGTTGCCTTCTCTTGATGCTCGTATCATTCCTAGGACAATCTCAGCCATATCAATATAGCTCATCCAGAACGATGACAAATCTCCATGTTCTTTACGTAATATGTTGAGATACTCGGAGTACGTATCCATGACTTTGATGCATGAAGGGTGTTTGAGCAYGTYCTCAAAAGCATCTTGAGAGATGTCATTGSCCAGCTTGTCAACCTCATTTAATGCTTTATTAAGATGGGGTAGAATGTGCTCATTTTCCTTTTTCATCCACTCGAAAAATCTTTTCCAGACGATTCTCATTAATGCCTCGTATAACAGCTTGTGAAATCTCACTGCTCTATTATACTTCTTCCCCTCCAGCACACCTTCAACGGAGCCTTCGGCAA